AGATCTATGAAACACATGAACGCCGGTTTGTTGAATTCAATAGCTTTTTCGGCTATTTGACGGAGTATGAATATGGCATCTATAGTGGATCTATTGTGTCTGAAACCTTGCTGATCCTCACATATTCCCGTGCTGGTCACTTCTTCTGCCAATATTTTTGTCAACAGCTTCGAAACTGTGCTGACAAGGGTGATTCCTCTATAGTTTTGGGTCTGTTTTGTCTCCTTTTTTGAAGATTGGGATTGTTATGCTGTCCTTCCATTCTGAAGGTACTTTTTGTAGATATAATATTTTATTGTAAAAATCTTTTAATTCATCTCCTCCATACTTGATCATTTCGTTCGTTATCTCGTCTATACCAGGTGATTTTCTGTTTTTTAGAGCGGTTGCCGTTTGCTTGATTTTCTCTATCGGTATCTGCCAAGTTGGTGGTGTTTCTTCAGTTGTGGGTGTCTCCTTGGTCTCCGTGTTTTCCTCTTTATTACGGTAGAGTTGTTCAAAGTGTTTTTCCCAGTATTCAGTAGTGATCTTTGAAATTTGGATATATTCGTTAACTGGTCTTTTTCTATTCCTTGGCATATTCCAGATTCTTTTCTGTCTTTCATATAGGTCGTTTTGAGTTTACTGGTTGTTTCGTTCTGTTTATTTATATATGGTGACTCTTATTTTTGCCATTACGAGATTGTGATTAGTAACAGCATTTGCAGAACTTAAAGCTCCTACGTCCAGCACTTGGGAGGGGTGAATGTTTCTGTTTTTTATTATATAATCTATTATGGACTTTTGTCTTCGTGTGTGCGTTTCATAGTTAACATTTCCACACAGGTTATGGACCAGGCACTGGAGGAGCTCCCGGTTCACCGGGTCTGTACCAAACAGTTCCAGAATATGGCACGGGGCCGGCAGAATTGCAGAAACCCGGATCGGAACTAGGCGCGGCCACTCATCCAGGACATCCTAGCGTTTATATACCTGGACAAGCACCTGCCGGAGTTAGCCCTGGATCGTACGCACCAGGACCATCCAGCGTCCAACCAGGTAATTAAAAAATATGCCCAAAAACTCCAGTTGAAATGACCTGCAACTCAATCTGGCTCAGGTTATGGACCAGGCCCTGGGGAGTTGCAAAAACCCGGAACCACAGGAGGGGCGGGCTATACTCCTGGTCAGACTGGTCCAACCACTGGTTATTACCCTGGATATCCAGGTTTGCCAGCAGGTAGGACATTAATACGGGAAATTTTCTATTCGTGCGGAAATGTAGCTGTTCAAAGTCCAGTCATAAGAGATTTAAAAAACACTCCAATCAGGAGAGGAATATTCCGCAAAGTTCCTACTTAAACTTAAGGACTAATACACGTGATAATTTCAGGATTCACGCCAGGTGTATCGGGATACCCTTCAAGTTATGCACCTGGACAAATACCTACTGGGCCCGGCGCTGGAATTTACCCAGGAGCGCCAGGAGGAGGGTATCCAGGCTCACCAGCAGGTAAGAGAATGAGTACTTGAATCAACAGCAAACAGAGCTAGTCAATAGAGAGGACCAAGGGCTCCTTGTAAACATTTTTCGAAAGTACACTCGATTTGTAGGCGCTGGAAGTACGGGAGGAACAGGGGCCATTCAACCAGGTGCCAGTACTATAGGCGGTTCCAGTGAAGCAGGTAGAACTAAATTAAAAAGTTTGCTTACAGCGCGCTAAATTACGTTTTGCTCAATCAGGAAGAGCATTAGGCGGAAGTCATTTTTCTAACGCCCAATGGGTTCCACCAGGTAAAGGAAACGACGTTTTAATAAAAAATACTTCTATGGGCTCTGGTATTGTCGTAGGAACTGAAGCTGCTGGCCCCCCAGGAACTACACCAGGCCAATATGGACCAGGAGTTTCAACTCATCCAGGACAGCCTCCAATCGTAGGTCCCTCAGGACTTGCAGGTCAAGGTGTCGGCCCCGGTGGACAAGGCTATGCACCTGGAGGACCCGGAGGACCAGGATACGGACCTGGGAGTCAAGGATACGGACCCGGGAGTCAAGGTTACAGACCCGGGAGTCAAGGATACGGACCCGGGAGTCAAGGATACGGACCCGGGAGTCAAGGATACGGACCTGGGGGTCAAGGCTATGCACCCGGAGGACAAAGTTTTGCACCTGGCGGTCAAGGCTCTGGACCTGGTGTTCAAGGAGCAGGCTCTGGCAGTCAACTGTATGGACCGGGCGCACAAGGAGGTCAAACTTATGCACCAGGCGGTCAAGGTTATGCTCCAGGAGGTCAATCACATGCACCGGGAGGTCAAGGTTATACTCCAGGAGGTCAATCTTATGCACCGGGAGGTCCAGGTGTAGCACCTGGAGGTCAAGGTTATGCACCTGGAGGTCCAATTTATGGACCTAGCGGTCAAGGGTATGTACCTGGAGGACAGAGCGCTGCACCAGGAGGTCAGAGCGTTGGACCTGGCGGTCCTGGTTATGGACCTGGGGCATATCCAGGTGGCCCTTATCCGCCAGCAGGTGGTTACACACCAGGCTCTACAGGAACCACTGGGGGAGTGGTTCCTCCGGGACAATATGTCCAAGGAGGAGCAGGTGATAATTACCATTAAATTCATGAATAAAACATATTGTTCTACCCAATGGATTGTTGCAGGGGGTGGATTAGCAGGCGGAGCAGGTGCGGGAGGCCAATGGGGACAAACCGGAGGTGGTTTAATAACGTTCAACGTAAACACCCTTTGACTGTTGTGTTTGCAGCAATTGACGACGCCGACTCCCAAGTGCAAACATCAGTGAAACAAACCAACAACGAAACGATTGCGAATGCTCAAGCGCATGGAAAGTTCCAAGGCGGAACCTCGCAGTCCCAAGTATCGGGAACCTATTCAGGATCGGGGTCGTTCAGTGCGTCTGCTGGATCAGACGATGGTAAGCGGGGAGCTTTGACTCAAGTGGCTGGAGGAAAAGATGGAGCGCAAAGTAGTGCACAAGGAAGAGGGGGAGCCGGGCAGTCTCAAGCGCAGGTTACTCTTGATTCTGGATCAGGTGATACTTTATCCACAGCCCAAACGTCTGGTAAGATGATAATAATAATAATAATAATGTATATTTCTTCATCATCAGGGTACTAATACTACTACGGTTGATGACAGGTATACAACATGGGACGCAAACTCAAGTAAGAGCAAGCGAAAAAGGAGGACTAGCGGACGCTCAAGCGAATGGCCCTGGCCCGACGTCTTCCCAAGCTCAGATCGGGTTTACTCCACATGACGAGCTGGAAAGTGACAACCAAACAACACCGTTTAGAGGAGGAGGCACAGCAGCCGCCCAAAGTGGCACATTGTCCGGGATGACGCAGACGCAGATCCAAGGAAAATTCCGATACGGAATCAGGTATTTATGTTCCTCTGTTGCCCAGTAAATAACCCATTTGGTGTGAACCACATGCAGATATCAAGGAGCGGCTCAAGCTGGATCGGGATCAGTAGCAATAAGGAACCTGACTGAACCAACAGGATATTTCAAGCCGATCAACTTCACAGCTAACAAAATCAGTCACAATAAACAGTCACAGAGCCAGCAATCGTCAATTGCCGTCCCATCAAAACCGCCACCAACATCAGTTGGAAAGAAACTGGATGTGCCTTTATCTGAAACCCTGACTGGCGCAGAATCGAGTCGAGAGGTAAATATATGAAAGTTCTAAATAAACGGCTAAAGGTCCCAGCTAGCACTTAACGTGAAAACGACGTGGTCAAAGTCACCAATTTTCTCACGTTATATTGACGTCTGCAATTGTCACAATAGCACGTGATAATCACGAGATAATTTCCGCGCGTTAGCTGGGACAGATACTAAATTATCTCAAGAAAAGAAAAACAAAATCAAATGTAGAAACTGTTCGAAATCCAGGTTCAGAAGGTGGACCCGGTTTCCCAAGAAGATCCAGTCGTTGTGTCTGCCCCGACGGAAACTCCAGCAGAATACGAAGAGCCGGATTATGCAGATGAAGAGTACCCTGATGAGGCCTCCCATGAACAAAACACCGAGTATCCGCAACCGCTGAGCTCGCCGTCGAGAAGAAATTTAGAACCGCCTGAAACTCGTCAATCCGCAGTACCGATCCAGAAAACTCACACCCCAAGAGTAGTGAGCCAAAGCTCAGACAGTCAGAAACAACACATTGTCTTGGACCCCTTGGAGGATCTGGATGCCACAGTGCATCAAAGCAAGGGCAGTTTTCCGGAAGATGGGATGGTATTGCAAGCGGGACAAGTTATTCCAGGTTTGTTGATTGATAACGAACTTGAATAAGTGGTTGTTTTGCAAACCAATGACATTGATTTTTATTTGCAGGTTCACCAGGATACCAAATCCCCGCAGGATTCCGGGGAAGGGTCAAAGCCATAGCGAACGGGCCCAACACTTATGCAATAGGCAGAAACGCTCAAGCTCAAAGCGTCACTTTATCGCCAGGAAGCGGCAGAGTAATCTACAGCAAATCCAGAACACCCAACCCGGTATACGGTGTGGTCACTAGAACTACATACAAAAACGGAAACTACGGCTCGGGGTACGCATATCAACCCATATACCAACCGGTAGGATACAGGGTGAAAAGTGGAAAAGTGCTGCCGAACTTTGTGTCGGTAAGCAAGTCCGAAGCAGGCTCCACCAACCCGAATACCGGGAAAAAGTCACCGGATATTTACTATACGCAAAGCAGTTCATGCGGGATGTTTACGAATTCGTGCGTGTATGCCAATGGAAAGAAAACGTGTTTTCCTGTACGGAAAACCAACCCGGACGGAAGTCCGATGAGCTGTTGATGTTCTCGGAAAGTTTGTGCGAACAATAAATCTGGACAATCGATGAACCTGGGGCCAGTAGATCTTACTACTTAAAATATAGTGGTTTGAATATAAATTCTATTAAATTTGCAATTTACTCTCGGGGTTAGGCGATGTCTCCCAATCCCAACTGCACGAGACACGCACATTACGAGTATAACTGTATTATTAACTTAGAATAATAACGCAAAATGTATTGTTGTAAAATACAGACAATTCGACCTGTTGGTGCAAGTCACTCAATCAACTAATTTTATTTCATTGAAAATCAGACCTGAAAAAGGGAAGAAAACATCAACATTTACGGGTTGATGCCTAGATCTGCAAGGTGAGGTGGATCTCCACTTTCGCATATCATTTCAACGCAAAGTTTCAAGTTTCCAAGTGTAGTGCGTGCTTTTGAATCCTCCCTTAAATATGGATAGGCAATAGAGGATGGGGCGCCAGTTTGCGGAAAGCAGGTAAGGAGGATTATTAATCTATAAACCCTTAACTTGAACTGAGTTTGGTTTCGCGAGAAACAATTAAAGTTGTATTCACTTCTCTAATTCTATTTTAGAATTCGTTTATGTTAGGCCTGGGTAACACTGTGTTGAGTTGCGCTTTTGAGTTGTTGCCGCTCTCTGAGTTAACGAGTTTTAACTAATTGGCTAAAAAGTTATAACTCATGGCCGATGACGGAATTTCAACACCTAACAAAAAAGCTATCAACATATTGCTTTTGCGCATACGATTGCTTGAAACTCTTTGGTTAAAACGGGAAAATCCGGAAATTTTGATGAAACTTAACAAAACTTTTCAGAGTTTTCCAAATATTGATTATATCCTTTAGATTTCTGTGACCGTTTTTTGAGGAAACCAAAATTTTGTCGAAGTAAAAAACAACACATAATAAACACGTGTTTATTATGGTGCGTCCTGACCTGACGAGCCGAGTTAGAGCCGCGGTAAATTGCTTCAAACCGACTAGATAAAGGCAAAAATCAAACAACACAAAAAACCTTTTAAGTTTCAATCGTTACACTCTGTAATTAAAATGACAAACTGAAAAAAAAACACACTGGTCACTGATACAAATTAAATATAAATAGGCAACATATAAAAATATATTATATCTTAAACTAAATAAATTACATATATCAATTAGATGTTAGTTTCCATGTTAAAAAAATAGCTTTCCTAAAAATGACTTGGGTAACTTAAAAAAAATGAAGAAAAAAGAACAAAAAAACATATTTACAAAAATGCACTTAGGTCGTCCTCAACATCGCTGCTGGATTGAGCGAGAACAGTTCCTCTATGAGAAAATGTGGTAGAATTGTGATTACGCAATCTAGAAAAACAAGGTTCGTCAATCCACCAACAGCATTTAGCAAACTTTATCGTTAAAAAATTGTTTTAGTCACATGCACAGAGTTAAACAAATCTCGTGAAGATTTTCATGCGTCTAAAATTAGAAGCGCATTTACTGGTGCCTCGATTACTTACGCAGTCGTTTTCGTCATCAAAAATCGCCATTTCCTCGCCACCATCCTCCTTCTCCATACTACAGAGCAAAGCGATAGGAACAGAGATAATAGATTTTATAAATTGCCATATAAACCTTCATTAGTAAAAGTAAGGCCTTAGTCACGAAAGACTTGCCGACTCTACAGGTGTTTGCAGTAAACTTGCAAATTTACAGAACAATATGAGACTCGCATTTTTCCCAACTTGCCTAAACCAAATAAGCTGAACGTTTTATCTAATATAACAAATACTGAATCAACCTTTTATCGAAAATAGCAAATGATTTGCAGTTATCCATCCATATAAACAAACTTTTAGAAGCTTTTGCTTCAAAATGAATGCGAAAGTGGAAGCCTTGAATTAAATTACACTGTCACCGTGCATAAAAGCACCTAAACCTCCTCCATAAATAATCGTACTAACCTTGTATGTAGATGCTGCAGCTGGACCTGGAAGTTGTCCACTTGCTCCTGGAGCTCATCGTTTGCTCGCTGCAGTTTTCTTGAATGATTCTGCGTGGTGTCCAGTTCGTCTTCCAGCACAGCCAGATCCTTCTTCAAATCCTCCACCCGAATTCTGAGTTTCTTCACCTCCGCTTCGTACTGTTCAGCTCTTCGAGCCGCATGAGCCAGTTCGGTCATTTTGTCTTGCAGCATTTTTTTCAGCTTAGTTTGGGCATGTTTCAGCTCGGAGATTTCCTATAAAATATCATCAGACTTTGCACCACTTGTCTCTCTTGGTTAACCTACTTTGTTTTTATCACTAATGTCTTGTTGGAGTTGCCGAATTTCTATATCGGAGGAACTCAACGTTCTGCTGCCTTTTCTTTCCAGCCTTTCCTGCATGTCGCGCAGCTCGTTTCTTAGCTTTTTATTGTCTCGCTCCAAGCTCAACTTTTCCGTTTCTAATCGCTCTCTTTTGCCCCACTCAGATGCGTTTTCTGCTTGAAGTCGCTCAAGCTGTAATATGACAAAACACCAAAATAAATCGAGGACAAAAAGGGCACCGAAGCAACTCACCTCGGCTCTTAGATCGTTGAGTTTCTTGTCCATCCCTTCACGGCTGCTGGATTCTTCCAGCAAATCTGACTTGATGATCAGGATTTCCTTTTCATGATCATCCTGCAAGCAAAGCAGCTGCCTCATGACTTCTTGCTTCGCTTCCCTGAGCTCGTCACATTTCTCTTTTTCTTCATGCAACTCCGCTGATATCCGGTCAAGGATTCTATGCAACGAGTCTTTTTCCCTGCGAAAAGTTAAATTGCCCGTAACATGAAGCAATTAGATGTAGACAGACACTCACTCTCTTTCAATGGTTATCGTTTTGGAGGCCTCCTCCAATTTCAACTGGAGCATTGAAATTTGCTGCAAGGCATTCTCCTCATCCATGATGGCCAAGGATTTTGCGCCCAAGTCACAAAGCTTCTTAGGAACTGCCCCTCTTAGACTTTCGACTTCGTCGTCCAATCTTGAAATGTTTTCTCTATTAATTGGCACGATATCATTAAAAATGGGAGTGACTGACCTTAAATTACTATCACTAGTTCTGCCGTTAATTTCTGCCTCTAAAGGTCCAGTGCTGTCGCACTCCGGATTGCTCTGGCTGGAAGAAACTCCATTCTGGCGCTCTCGGTCAATTAATAAATCTCTGGATGGAGAGGTGATTCCCTTTAGCTCTTTGCACGGGGCCTCTTTAACTGGAGACCCGTTGCTAAAGCGAAGTCAAATTATTAAGTTTAATGAGTGGATGGTGTTTTAGTTAACGCACCTAAAGGCAAAGTCTTTCAAGGGATCCTCACCGAGAGCTTCAAATATCTGACTATCAAACTGGCCCGCATGCTTCAACAGCAAAAGATGAATTTTTTCAATCTCCCGCTTCAACTGATCGTTTTGGGCTTCGACCTCATCTTTATCGCGCTTGTGGCCAGACGCCTCTTTGACGGAAGTTTCCAATTTGGTTCGCAGCTGCTTACATTCTTCTCTAATTCATAAGATAAAACAGCCACTATTGAAGCCAGAGGTAATTCACTAGTTACCGAGCTTTGTTACGTTCGTTTCGCACTTTTGACCACTTTTCTCTCCAGTTGGCCGTGCAATCCGACCACCATCGCATGGTTTTCTCCATTTGGGCCGCTCTGCCTTTGGCTTCTTCTAACTCTCGTTGCCGCAACGCCTGTAAGACTTGCTCAGTTAAAGAGTGGAACTATTTGCAAGAAATATAACACAGACCTCATTAGCTTCCCACTCTGAAACATCCCCGATCCTCGAAGACACAGAGGCCGTATCGTGACTGTCGCGAGGATGTTTTCGTGAAGAAGTGCCACCACCTGTGGTGTTTTGAGCCATAGTGGGTCTGAAACAACTTTCGTTTAGGTGGCCCTTGAACTAATGTTGATGGTCACACATGTAAGAACGGAACGATGTAATGGCAGAAGTGTGCAGAAATTGATTATTTTCTTTGAAATTTTCTCAACTCCGCCTGCATGCCGCTCAAGGGCGGATCCAGGGGGGGTTACTCGAAAAAAGCAGCGTCATGTTCAAGTGGATTTTGCAACTCGCAAATCTTAAACTTGAATTCAAGCCTTTTTTGAGAAAACTGCCAACATTTTCCCATCCATGTTTCACTTTCTAAAAAGGTCATTCATTTCTGTCTAGAATGATGTACAAATGAGCGTTCTTGCTCATTTTGTCTCCGAGAAATGAGCAAAAATGAGACGTAAAACATGGAATTTTGGCATAATCTTGCACCTAAGTGTGTGATATTCAAATTTCGCTTTCTGGGTCAAAACTACTCGAATTTCCTCACTCACGTTGTTACGACTGAA